ATAAGGGCCAATGAAACGCAAGAATATATTATTTCAGTAAGTTTTATCTGTATGACTATTAAATCTAACTAAAAGCTTCTGATAATTACACAAGTCTTTAATTGGTAATGTCTCTAAGGTCTTTGACGTGTACTGGTAGCGTAGGCACTTGGCTTTTGATTGATCAAAATTGACCTTTTGCCTAATGAGCCAGTGTAGTAGTCCGCTGTATACATGTTCCAGTTCTTCTAACACCTTTGCGCTCACATAACCTGTGTTTCCAACTATATGCAGGTGGCGGAGTCCGGTTTGAATGCCCATATAAAAGATCCAATATTTCATAGGGTTAGGGATGTTGCTCCAAACAAGGTATTAACATTTGGAACTATTTACAGTGGATATATACAAATATGCTTATAGTGGATATTTACTAATATACTTACTGTCTTGAAGTCTTCTGATCTTTCAACTTATCTCACAGGCAATGTTTTGCTTAAGCTTTAGGCTGCCAGAAGGGTGCCTTATTTAAAGATGCCACTGTCTCTCATTCTGCTGACGGAGAGGGAGTTGCGCGAATGGGCCTCTTCCTTTTGAGAGCTTAGAAAGCCAAACCCCTGCAATATACGAGCAACTGCTGTCTGTTAAAGCACTTGAAACCTTCCATTTTGCAAAAATTGCAAATCATGTTGACGGTGGGAGATGAAATGGACTTGCATCTGAAAATGTAACAATTATATTTCAAAATTTTCATCGTTCAGTAATTTTTGCATACAATCTGTACTGTATTGGTTGATCAGGGCATATCTCCAAAATCTGTGAAAAGTCAGTATGACAGTCGTAGCCTTCATATCCTTTGATTATGACAAGTTTTGAGTGCTTTTTTAAAACCACCGAGTGAAGCAAAAAGAACAGATCTGGCAAGGGATTTATAATTCGAGTGGTTAAGAACACTCCTTTAATTTCATGGTTTGTGCATGAGGACAGTAGTTAGTGCGTGTTATTGTTACGCGTGACTAAAGCACATAACTTTCATGTAAGTTTCTAGATCATAATTCAGTACAACTTCTAATTAAAAGAAGAAGGAAAAAGAAAAAGAGGCACTTTCCTTTCATCTTATACGACTGGTCTCAAGGACTGAAGCTGTAGGGACAAGGGAGGCAACAAAATCTGAGTAATTCACAAGCAATCTTTCACCTTTTGTGTATGTAGGGTTTAGGATGAAGGGGAAGAATATGCTTCCCATGGCATTGCCCTAACAAATTCAAATTGTGCCCATCTCTTGGAAACTTCAACGTCAAAATGTGATTTTGAACTCCATCCATGGACTTGAAGCGTCCCCAGCGCAGGCCCTAAACTCCTATGTGTGGAACCTACGACGACGGAGGTATCAGGGAAGTTGTAGTACCATGTGTGAATGTAGCATTTTCCTGATAAGAAAAACTAAAAGCCATCCTTTTTCTTTGGAATGGCACCTATGCTAGCTATCCCTTTTTCTGTGACGATAAAGTGTTAAACTTTCACGTAATAAAAGCAAACGCAAAGGAGGAGCCTGCAAATTGATGCGAAAATGAACACGTAGGTTTTGCCTGGAAAGTTGGCATTTTGGAGTATTCTCTTTAAGTTTGCTTAAAAGATCAGTCAATGGTTTTCTTCTCATGGATGGTCGCTCACTATCTTTGCTCCTTGGTCTTGGTCTTGGTCTTGGTCTTGGATAAGTCTTCATGTTCCCATTTCCCTTCCCAAAGTTGGCAATTTTCTTTTTGGACTGGGCAAACATAATATTTTTCATATTAATACTAATTTGAATAATAATATTATTCAGTTGCAAAACAATTAGCATGGGCTGGCCACCATAACTGAATAACTGAATTAAGGAAGGAATCTTCCATTTCTTTTTTGCTTTTCCCATCAAAGTTCTCTAAAGCCTGACACTGAAATTCCTGAGAGAGAGAGAGAGAGTGTTACCACTTTGCACTCTATATATTGTTGAACAAACAACCAAAAGAATTCCCCTCTTCCTTTCTCTTCCCTCCCTGCGTCCCTCAATCATTGGAGCCCTCAAATCTTTCTTGATTCTTTGCTTCATTCAAAAAAGATTCAGATTCAACAAGAAGAAAAAAAGATTAGCCCCAAAGAAAATGAGAATGGCACAAGAAAGAGTCTATTGGGAAATATTAGTACTAATTCTGGTGTTGATGAATATGGCCCAAAAAGGCACGAGCTTTGGGGTCAATTGGGGAACAATGGCAACACAGCAGCTCCCACCAGAAAAGGTGGTCAAAATGCTGAAGGATAATGGGTTCAATAAACTCAAGTTGTTCGAAGCTGAAGAGAAAATATTAGCTGCTCTTATGGGGACGCAGATTGAGGTGATGCTGGCCGTACCCAATGTCATGTTGCAAGAGATGAGCCAAGATCTTGTTGCTGCAGCTACTTGGGTCGATGCCAATGTCACCAGTTACTGCTACAATGGTGGAGTCAATATCAAGTTGAGTCACACAATTTTCAACCCATTTGTGCAATGTGTTTGAATTCTTACTCTTTCTTTTTATGCCATTATGTTCCTAAGTGGTTCATTTTTTCTCACTCTCAAAAGTCAAAACCCTCTCAGTTGATTATCTTCAATTTCTGTAAAATCATGGGGAAGTTCATTTCTTTCCCCCCATGATTCTGGAGGTGTTGCTTGTTTTCCTTGCTTTCTATCTCTCTCTTCTTTTAACTGTTACTATGACTATTACCTGTTTCCAATTATGTCTGAATGATGTTAAGGAATTCCTTGAACATGCTAAAATTATTATGACAATTGAGTTTGCAGGTATGTTGCTGTAGGCAATGAACCCTTCCTTAAAACATACAATGGCACCTATCTAAAAACCACATTACCAGCTCTAAAGAACATCCAAGAAGCCCTCAACAATGCAGGACTTGGGTCACAAGTCAAAGCCACCGTCCCTTTCAACGCCGACATCTACTTCTCCCCTGACTCAGACCCAGTTCCATCTACAGGAGACTTCCGGCCTGAAATTCGAGACTCCTTGATTGAGATCATCCAATACCTACATACCAATGATGCTCCATTCACAGTCAATATCTATCCTTTTCTCAGTCTCTATGGCAATGCATATTTTCCTTTTGGATTTGCTTTCTTTGATGGAACAACCAAGCCCATTAAGGATGGTGATCTACTGTACACCAATGTGTTTGATGCAAACTTTGACACCCTCGTTTGGTCTCTGACTAAAGCTGGGTTCCCTGAGATGAAGATCATGGTTGGAGAGGTGGGCTGGCCAACTGATGGTGACATAAATGCCAATATAAGAAATGCCAAGAGGTTTAACCAGGGAATGATTCAACATTCCCTGAGTGGAAATGGAACCCCAGCAAGGAAAGGAAAAATTGATGTCTATCTATTCAGCCTCATCGATGAAGATGCGAAAAGCATTGCTCCTGGAAACTTTGAAAGGCATTGGGGGCTATTTGAGTATGATGGGAAGCCAAAGTATAATTTGGATTTGACAGGCTCTCTTGAAAGCAAAGGCCTTGCAGCTGTGGAAGATGTAGACTATATGCTGAAGAGGTGGTGTGTTTTGGACAAAGATGCTAAAGATTTGGAGGTCTTGGCAAAAAGCATTGACTATGCTTGTACCCTCTCAGATTGTACTGCTTTGGGTTATGGGTGTTCTTGCAATAATCTCAGCCTCCAAGGAAATGCTTCTTATGCATTTAACATGTATTACCAGATGAATAGCCAGAAAAGCTGGACGTGTGATTTCTCTGGTTTGGCTGTGGTGACTGATGAAAATCCGTCTGTTGGGGACTGCCAGTTTCCAGTGATGATTTCTTATGGTGGTCCTTCAGTGTTGCCTAGCAGGGGCATTGCACACATGGTGATGAAAATTGTTGGGGGATATCTGTTGTATTTGATTCTCCTATGACATAAGCTCTTTAGGAAGCCATGAAACCTAGCTATAGCAAAACATCACACATGTTATAGTATGATAGCTTACACCTTGTAAAGCAGATTGTTCTGGCATAATCCATGGTTCCCAATCCCAAGTTGAAATTTTTTGCTCATTTCTTTCTTAAATTCTTTCTCTAATGTTGATAATGCATTGCAGTAATTCATATGTTTAAATCTTAAGAGATATTCCTATGGCTTTGGAGTTGCTTGATGCTATTCCTATACCTGCAGTATCACACAAATGGGGGAGACGTAAAATAGTTGAATGGGTGGAGTGGGTCGAACTACATTGCTCCTGGGCCTTAAGCTTGTTGTTGCTATTGGACTTCCTATGTTCTGTCTGCAATGAGGGCCACAAATAAAAAAGTAAAAAATAAGACTGAACTTTATTTACTGTTTTTCATCCATTTCCTTTCCTTCTCTCATTTAATAAATACAAATTTATAAATAAACCCAATCCTAGACATGTATTTATAAAAAAACCCTAGCACTATTTAAACATAGAAACACACCCAAAATCAACCCCAAAGTCAACTTTTTGGGTGTGTTTATAAATAGGTTTTGAGTGTGTGTAATGATGGATTTTGGGTGTGTTTATATGTTTAAATAGTGCTTGGGTTTTTTTATAATTTCAACCCCCATTTTGGGTGTTTTAGTGATAAATGATTTCCTAAAGATTCCTTTACATTTACATGTTTCCTTTCCTTCTCTCATTTAATAAATGATTTCCTAAAGATTTCTTTACATTTACATGTTTTTTATTTCAAAGTTAAGAGGTTTTTTTTTTATTTTTTTTATTTTAAACTTACAAAAGTGAAATTTCTTTTTTGGTTAAAACCTAAATTTATTTAAAAAAAGTGCGAAAATTTTCACCACCATGATCCAATTCAAGGGCCTCCTGTGTTTCAGAGTACCCAATCTTTGCATCTAATTTCATCAATTCCATTCCATAATATAATACAGAGTTTCTGAACATAACAGAGCGTTGAAGTAGAATTTGTACAAAAAATTTCTTTTTCATTATAAATTTTGTTACAAATCAGTGAATAAAAGTACAGAAATGCATGGGAAATCGGGGCAATCCTCGTTCCGAGATCGAACGCAGGAGTTTCTGAGCATAACAGAGAGGCATCGAAAGTCCTCCTTCTCCACGCCAGCCAACGATGGCCCAGCATCGAGTAGCAATAGTGGCGCGAAGCTCGACGGACCTCGATCTGCGGCTTCGATTCAATCGGAGTTCAACAAAAGGGCCTCCAAGATTGGGCTTGGGATTCACCACACTTCCCGCAAGCTCACCAAGCTCGCACAATGTATGTAAAATCTATGCTATTTGCCAAAATTTTCCTTAATCTCTGATTATGTCAAATTATACAAGTTAATTGGTTTTGTTTGGTGTTTTAGAGATCACACTGTCAAAATGGATGTGTAAATTTTGATCTGTAATACATTATGCTTTGATTAGTGTTAATTAATTATGCTGAGACAGGATGCTAAGGAAAGGTTTGTGATGGAATTAGAATATGAATGACCCAGTATTTCATGGTTGTTTAACAATGGGGGTATCTAGTCTTTAAATATTGATGTTCAATAATTTAGTATTGTTTTGTGATTTGTTTACATAAATGGAGAGCCTTGCTGATACTTGGAGCAACCCATGTTGAAACATAAGTATTGCTTTGATATTTTTCAGTGGCAAAAAGGACATCAGTGTTTGATGATCCAGCTCTGGAGATCCAAGAGCTGACATCAGCTATAAAGCAAGATATTACTGGACTTAATTCAGCAGTGATAGATCTGCAGCTGGCCTGCAATACCCAAAATGAAAGTGGAAACATCTCGAGTGACACCACAAATCATTCAACCACAGTTGTAGATAACCTGAAGAACCGATTAATGAGCACCACGAAGGAGTTTAAAGAAGTGCTCACCATGCGGACAGAGGTATATTGTATGTCCCTGCACATGGTTGTCTGATGAGCTTTATTATTTGACTAGAATACGAAGTTCAACATTTCTTGTTTATATATGGCAGAATTTAAAGGTTCATGAAAATAGGAGGCAATTGTTTTCTTCAAGCACTTCAAAAGAGTCAACAAATCCGTTTGTTCGCCAACGTCCAGTTGCTGCCAGATCAGCTGCTAATGCATCGGCAGCTCCTCCTCCATGGGCCAATGATTCTGCGTCTTCTTCGTCACAGTTATTTCCTAGGTAAATTTCCACTACACTAGGCATCAGCATGTTTTACAGAAGTAGTTATTGTAACCATATTGTTATATTCTAAGGGCAAGTTCTTATTAGGAGCCTCAGCCTCAAATTCATGCCTATTGTTCTTTTTATAACTTCCAGTGCTATATTAATCCCATTGTTAACCATGACTGGCTAAGCAGTGTACTTGTTACATGGAACCTTTTGATTGCTTCCTTTCATTTTGGAACTTGGGAGAGAAATAGTGCTGTCATCTTCCTAATGCTGCCTGTAGTGAATCATATATCCTAGATCCACGACTTCAATTTAGATGTCAATGGCATTGTTTCATATTTCCTTCAGGAAGCAGACAGAGATGGAATCTCAGCCATTACTGCAACAGCAGCAACAACAGGTAGAACAACAAGACAGCTATATGCAGAGCCGAGCTGAAGCTCTTCATAACGTGGAGTCAACAATTCATGAGCTGGGTGGCATATTCACACAATTGGCAACCATGGTTTCTCAGCAAGGAGAGCTTGCAATCAGGTTTGTTTAGCAGTCATGTTAAAGTACTTGGATGGGTTCACCTTTCGTCACTAACAGAAAACACAAGCTTGTAGAATAATTTTTTTGGGTTAAATACTCAATATTGGGGCTGTGGCTGGCAGGATTGATGAGAATATAGAGGACACACTGGCCAATGTGGAAGGAGCACAAGGGCAACTGGCCAGGTACTTTAACAGTATATCATCCAACCGATGGCTAATGATCAAGATTTTCTTTGTACTTATTGTATTTCTTTTATTTTTCTTATTTTTTGCGGCATAAGGATGAATAAAAATTATACAAAGTAAAGGAAAGTAACAAAGCGATATTTTCCTTTGTATTTTCTGTTATTTGAAATATGAAAGTTGGCATGTATGGACTACATGTGAATTGTGATAGGAAGTGTAAAGTATTTTTGACAATTTTTCTTGGATTACATTGTATTCCTGATTAGTGAACAATGTAGTTTTGAAAATAATCATGACAATGAATGGAGTTAGCTCATTAGAGTTGCAGTTACCACTCTGCACCACCTTAAGGAAATCAACTTCCCTACATACGTTTCACGCAAAGAGAATCATGCATCCAAATTTTCACTCTTCGCGAACGATTGTTTGTATGTGGACCTAAGTTATAGCTGCATATTGTATATTGTGTGCAGTTTTTATTGCAGAGTGACTCAACATCCCATTGGGGGACTTGCGTCCTGCCTCTCCGCATTCTTTAAAGTAGAGCTCCGGCTGTCTGTTGTGCCTGGTAATATTGTTCCAAATCAAACAGATGCATGCGCTTATGAAACTTTGACTTCACAATTCACAGGCATCTAGTATTAGTATATACAAAATATTTTTGGCTCAGATTGTTAATGTTGAATGGAAGTGTGGGAAAGTAAAGAGACAAAAATGATTTCGATTTAATGTCAAATGAAAAGTTTGGGATTGGAACCATATGACGTGGGATTCTGCTACTGGAAGTTAACCTCTCTCTAATTCTCTTTACTTTTTTTTTGTTTTTTTCAATTGGGATGGATAGAATAGATAGTGAAGGGATAACGTAACGGTAACGTAGCACCTAAATTCAAACAATGGTAATAGTAATATTAAACAGTGAGCGGGAATTTGAATTTGAAATCTCGTAACGGCCAAATGAGCTACTGGGTCCCCCTTTTCAGTAGCCAATGCCCTTTCTCACACATTCACTCATCAAACCTCCATCTATATTCTTCTCTCCTCTCTCAGTCTTCTTCCTCACCCACCAACACACCCACACACACACACAAAGCACAGAGCTGCTCAACAATGGCGTCCCTCACACCAGGGATCCTCCTGAAGCTTCTCCAGTCAATGAACTCCGCCACCAAAGTCACCGGCGATCACCGTTCGGCTCTCCTCCAAGTTATCGGCATCGTCCCTGCTCTCGCCGGCTCAGACCTCTGGCCTAACCAGGGCTTCTATGTTCAGCTCTCCGACTCCCTCAACTCCACCTACGTCTCCCTCTCAGATCGTGACACCGACCTCATCCTCACCAACCGGTTGCAGCTCGGCCAGTTCGCCTATGTTGACCGCTTCGATTTCGACTCCCCTGTTCCTCGCGTTGTCGGAATCCGCCCCATTGCCGGCCGCCACCATTTCGTCGGTACCCCAGAGCCTCTCGTTGCTCGAATCTCCGCCTCAAAACGCGAGTTTGTGATCCAGCCCGTGTCGGATTCTGACCAGTCCACCGATTTCATGGCGATTTACTTATCCAATAAGAAGCAGGAGCAAGTTGTTAGGAATGACAACAAGGAAGCCAAGATTGAGAAGACAAGATCATCGAGGCAGCCTCTTGCTCCTCGAGACAACGTGAATTTGGGTGGGAATTCCAATTCCAATTCAAATTCAAATTCGGATGAGCCTAAGAAGATCTCAGATCGGCCGGCTTCAAGGTTTTCATCTCCGGCCGGTGCAAAGAGGTCGGTATCCGTTGGGAAGAAGAATGTGGCGCCCGCGGAGAGAGATCCGTCACCCGCTGGAAAAGGAAAGAGATCGGGATCTCCGGCGCCTTCAAAATGCGTGGTTCCGAGCTTAGTTGTGGCAAAGGAAGAGAACCGCAAGGTGTCTAAGGAGCCTGCGATTATAGTACCGTCCAGATACCGTCAGCCGTCTCCGACTGGGCGGAGGCAGCCATCTCCGAATCCCCGCAGGGCTTCGCTTTCTCCTGGTAGACGGTTGTCTGGGGGAGTGAAGGACTCAGCTACCAGGAAGAAGATGGCAACTATCGTTGCAGGGATTTCTAAGGTTTCTGAAGCCCTTGTTGGGTCTGGAAAGAGTAACAGGAAGGGCTGGGATGAGTCACCGGCAGTGGAGCAAAGAGAGAAGTCTGTGTCCAAGAACAAACCAGATTTTCAAGCAATTTTAAGGACTCAGGTAGTTTTTTCCTTAATTTGCATTGCAATGACATTTTTTTTTAAATTTTGCTTATGGCTCTGCATATTCTGATTTCCTGATTCTTTCTATCTTTGCAGGCTGCCCTTTCGAGACGATTGAGCGATGCTCATGGTCGAAGTCCTAGTGGCGGTGATGATTCTTCTAGCGATGAGAAAACAAAATCTGGGTCACCTGAAGATTGCCTGGCTCAAGAGAAACCAAGCTGTACAGCTCTGGGCATCACTGTTCATGAAAGAAAATGGACTGATGGGAGTGTTTCACTTGATGCAGTCTCTTCAGACCTTGCAAGGCTTGGAAAGGTAATGACGGGGTTTTAATCTTGGAATGTATTGAGCATAAGATGCATTAATTAGACATAAATTTTGTCATTGAAACAGAAGGATTAGTTATTGATATGAATTAATTCAAAACCATATCTAATTGCAGGAGGCTTTGCAAAGGAAAGTTATTGCATCTGCTGCTGCAGCTGAAGCCCTGGAGGAGGCCATTGCTACCGAATCTCTTGTGAGGAAATTAAGGTAATACGATCATTGCGATGGTGTGCCTTTGAATTCATTGAAGAGAATGCATTTGCTGTATAATCACTATTCATCACAAGTGATTGATGTGAACTTGAATTTTATTCTCCTTTGTCTATTTCAGCATGTTCGCAGAACTATCTTCCACATCCAAGGTTGGGAACCCTTTGCCCGCCATTGACCGGTTCTTTTCAATCTACAACGAAGTTGTTAAATCAACAACACTTGTTCAATCAATTGCCAGCAACCACAATGCTGATACACCTAATAATGACAACATTCCAACAGAGCAATCAAAATCTGTTTCTCTCTGGGTTGAAGCTGCCTTGGCTACTGATCTCGGGGTTGTCTCTCTTCTTACCACCCAAGACAATGAGCCTCCATCAACCCTGCAGAAAAGTTTGTCAAAACGACAATCTCTCAATGCACCTGCCAAAACCCATATGAAGATTTCTTCTTCATCTTCTTCACCAGAGTCCAATGCTCATGTTGGGACGTGGACGAAGGGTCGTGGCATGAAAGATACTGTTGAGCTTGCAATGAGTCTGCAGTCTGAGATGCAAATGTGGTTTCTAGAGTTCGTTGAGAAGGCCCTGGATGCCGGTTTTCGGGTGTTTGGAGAGTGTGCCGCAGATGGTGTTAAATTGCCTCTCGACTGTGGCTCCATTGCAGCTGTTTTATCACAGTTGAAACGAGTGAATGAGTGGTTGGACCGAGTTGTGTCAAAGAGGGATGAGCAAATGAATGAAAAGGTTGACAGGCTGAAGAGGAAGATCTATGGATTCGTTATTCAACATGTCGGGACAACGTTTGACAATGCACCCCTTGCTTCATCTTGATTTCAATTCCATTTCAACTTATTTTGGTCTTTGTAATTCGATTTAAATCTTCCACATGAATTTGAACAAATTGTATCCTTTTCAGCTGAAAATGATAATTGATTCCTTTTGAATTTTCTAGTTCCGGGTCTAGCAAGCAAGTTTTCAAATTATTTTTTTTATACTCTGCTTCTTTTCTAATAGCAAGTTTGTCACTATTGGTCAGTTCAGTTATGTAGAAGCTCATCACCTCAATCAATTCAAGCTTACAAAATTTAGAGTGGATTGATTTAGGTTAAGATTTACTTGGACTCGATCATGTTGTGTTGAACTTGGTTATACTTGGTCTGAAAGCGCTAGTATTTTTCTTTCTAGCTTTGGAAGAGATCCTGAATTCAAGTTTCATTACGTTAACTGAGAAACAATGTAAATACGGGCATGAATGCCATATCTTAATTGTAATCTTTCCATTTTCGGAGAATGAATTTAAAAACATTAAACTTTTCTCAACCTACATTTGTGTTACTCTTTTGGCATGGACTATGAAGGGCTCGTTTTGGTCCTTTGGGTCCCAATCATCTGCATTGAAGCCACGCCAGATGCCTCTTATCCTGAAACAAAAACCAGGCCCACTGGGCCCCACGCCAAACCAAACCATCATGACCGCCCATCAAAATCTTGGTCACGGACACATCCGACGGCCAGGCTTCACCCACATCCACAGCCCAGAATTAGATTTTTTTTTCTTCTTTTATAAGCCCATCACAGATTCACACACCCTTGCCATGTAATGTTGGTTGAAAAACTCAACCAGCGCAACATTTTTCACACATACACAAAGCCACCTCCTCCTCCTCCTCACTCGTCGTCACGAAAGCCTCGCAGGGTTTTTCTCGCTGTCTCTCAGAGGAGACTCTGCTAACCCTCTTCACTCGTCACCCGAGTTCACCAAAACGATTCGTTTCATTTCAGCTCTCCCGTTCTCAGATCCTCACCAACCTCAACAGCAATCTGAGAATCCAAATCCTCCCAAACCCTAATCTTTTCCCTCTCCCATTTCCGATTTTGCCCTCCAGCTCGCGCCTGAGCTTCGTCACGAAACCGTAACTTCAAAAAACCCGCTGTTTGGCAACGCGCGGTAAGTCTAGACTTACGCTTGGTTAAGAAATGGTGGGAGGCGGGAACAGAAAGGACGAGTCTGTGGTTCTGAATAGCACCAACGTGTTTGCGGCGCTCGGGAGCTTGAAGAAAAAGAAGAAGTCCGAGAAAGGTTCCTCCAAGAGCTCGAAAAGCGGCACAGCTCAGAATCCTGAGGAGGCCGAAAAAGAGGTGTTTTGGGCTCCTGCGCCCCTCAACGTGAAATCGTGGGCCGATGTCGATGACGAGGACGACGACGACTACTATGCAACTACAGCTCCGCCCGAATTGGGCTGGGCTGGTGAGGATTCAAAGGTGGCCAAGGAGACTGAGCATGAGGCTGAGCATGTGGAAGTCGGTGAACTGGTATATTTTTTGGCCTTTTTTTTTGCATCGTGATCTTAATTTTGGATAGTGCTAAACTTGGAAAGCATGCATTGTATTTGTGTGGGAATGTATCTATTTCTGTTATAGGAAATGATCGGTCCTTTTCATGATGCAGCTGTAAAAGGAGGTGCTTTTTTGCTTAGTTTTGTTTAATTGGTATTTGGAAATTGACATGGCAACACATATGGAGATTTAATGAGGAAAACAAGTCATAGGAACTGTGAAATATCACTGATGTTTGCTGAAGCAATTACATTTGGTTGTTTTTTTCTACTTTTGGAATGATTAAGATGATTACTGAAAGGATTTTGATGATAACATTTGGTAGGAGTTATGGAATTTATTGATATTCATATCTGTTGATTTTGTGGAATCCTTATCTAGTTTGTATTATTCTTTCAATCATTTCATTTAACGGTAGTAGATGCGAATATTTTAAAGTCCAAACGTTATTGCATTACCTGTAAAGGCTTATCATCTACTCAGTTTTGTGTGCACGTGTTACGTTATGCATCTTTGATGTTATGACTTGGTCTTGGTGGCTTTTGTGGAGACATTTGATTTTTTTCTTTTTGCCACCTTGACTTGTTAGAATTGAATTGCCATTATTCTGTTAGAAAAGAGCTATATCCTTTGTCGGAATCCATGGCTTATCCATGATCGGTTTCCTTTCAACACATGTAGATTGTCATGAGACAGAAACCTCACCCGCACGTGTACCTGCATTTCATGGAATTGAATTGCCATTATTCTGTTAGAAAATAGCTATATCCTTTGTCGGTATACATGGCCTATCCATGATCGGTTTCCTTTCAACACACGTACATTGTTGTGAGACAGAAACCTCACCCACACGTCTACCTGCATCTCGTGGAAATGACTCTCCTTCTATAGTGGATGCAATGAAATTTATCTTTTGTTGCTTTCATTATGGTAATATAATAAATTGATTTCTGTTATGAAAACATATTTTTATAAGGAAAAGTGATAGGTTTGCAAGTAGCTTGTATGGTTTCATTGTGAAAACTCAGTGTGTATCCCAGATATAACCAAAGAAAATCAAGTAGATAACCGTAAACTGGAATGTGTGCATGTGGGTGTGTTCTTCTAAGGGTACTTATGCTTTTCTATTAACTTAATGTAACAATCATTTATCTTTTCGTAAAGTCAACTAACTCCATCAGTCTTTAAACCTAAGATGTTGATGTTGTACTTTTGAATATCCTAAAGCATTTGAGTGAGTACTATTCCTCTGGTTGGATTGTTTAATTTTTATATTTATCCCGGATTCCAGGTAAGTGAAAGCGAGGAGGAAGGACTTGATGAAGTCGATGATGTTGACGAGGAACATGAAAATGAACTTGAAGCACCAGTGGAAACTGAGCCACTTAAGAAGCCCCCTGAAGCTTCTCCAGCTCCTAAGGATACTGAAAGGCAGCTTTCTAAGAAGGAACTGAAGAAAAAGGGGCTTGAAGAACTTGAAGCTGTTCTTGCAGAGCTAGGATATGGTGCCAAAAGCGAGACCGGTGGCCAAGATGATTCCAGTGGTAATATAGCTTATATGAATATGATTATGCATTCCAGTTCTTGTTTAGTAATTGTGTATGTATCGTCTGATTTTTTCATAACATTATTGCAAAATGAGTTCTATTTCCGGAAGCTTAAATATTATGCTAAACATCAACCACATACCTTATCTTTATGTATGATAATTGGCCAGTTAAGAAGTAGGTTGGAAAACTAATTTATGCCCTCCTCCGTCTTACGTTCATTTATTGGGCTTTTCATCAAATTTGATCTCTTCCAAGGAATAATGATCCATGTACTCTTGCAACTTTCATCATATTTGATCAGTTCGATTTTTGTTATTTCTTACATGGGCTGAATTTTTACCTACCTCTCCATGCAGGTATTGCACAAGAGAAGAAAGTAGAGAATCTAAATGGCGAGGTAGACAAGAAGGAGAATGCCACCGGGGAGAGCAAAAGTGCAAAAAAGAAGAAAAAGAAGGATAAGTCATTGAAGGAGCCAAAAGAATCCCCGGACCAGCCTGATGGCATCGATGTTGCAGCAGCAGATGAAGATGCTGGGACAGAAAAGGGAGAAAATACATCTGCTGGTGATGTTAAAGAGCGGCTAAAGAAAGTGGCATCCATGAAGAAGAAGAAATCAAGCAAAGAAATGGATGCAGCTGCCCGAGCAGCTGCGAGTGAAGCTGCTGCTAGGAATGCAAGGCTAGCTGCAGCAAAGAAAAAAGAGAAGAACCACTACAATCAACAGCCGGTGCGGTAAGCCGGCTATAGATCTTTACTTTTTGTTTCTTTGTTTTCTCTTTCTTCTATATGAACTTGTACTCTTGTTTATTTGTTGAATGGAAAAATAAACCTTGGTGGTTTTGCGAACTTCACTTTTAAGGAGATACTTCTTTTACTTGAAAGAAAAAGGAAAACTATGGTTATATCGTATTCTAGCAGCACTGCTCATAGATTTGAAAACTACTGTCTTCCTTTTGACAGTGCTTGTGTTTTTTATGTGCGTCTTGAGGACCTCAGCAACTCCTCCTGTGTAGCACGTGCTGGGTTCTAAGACGTTTTCCAATAATCCATCCAATTCAACAAATTATCTTCTGGGTATTTTTGTTTTGATCATTCCGTACTGTCAGAGATAAAGGTGTCGAAGTTATACTTAAATTCAATGCAATATTTGAGATAAGAACTGATGTGGGTTAATTGCTGCAATGGTAGGTTGTGTCATCCTGATACGCATTTTTTTCCTTTGAGATTTTTGTTTTGAAAGATCCATTGTTGTTGCTTTCAACCCAAAAAAGAAAAGAAGATTGATTGTTCTCCATTTGATTTTGAAATCTTCCACCTTGCATAGATTTCAAAAGGAGGGGATAGAGCTTGACTTGAGGATTGCAGAAAGAGGGGATCGGGATTTATAGATACAAGTCTACAAACAAGTGAGTAAACACTCTGGATTTATTTTTAAAATCTTGAGCCGCTGATTAATACAACTGTTATAAGTTCCAACAATTTTAATAGGAGGGTAGAACAAAAAAAAGAACATTCAAAATTCTTGGGGTGAAGAGTTTTACAACTAGCCATCACATGGGAGAGTTTCTCCTAATAATACTTTCACTCGAACAAGGCTGAAATTTGAAGAAACCATACTTTCGATTCCCTAAAAGCTTCCAAGCAATAAATAACAATAACAAGAACAATTGGTATCACCGTTATCCTTTGAACTCAGGAAAACTGAATGTATGAACCAGTTGAAGTGGCAGTCGTATTCACCCGGGCAAAGTCGTCAAAATCAGAGTCTGTACCCATATCTTCGTATTCTTGCCAGCCACCGGGAGAGTCTGAACTCATATCTTTGGTGGGAGGGACGTGCAGCTCAGATAGAGGAACTGGAAGAGGCCCTTCATTGAAATACTTGTCTTGGAGCAGTTCCATGGTCGTAGCTCTCCGAGCTGGGTCATAACAAATAAGTTTCTTCACCAGGGAGATTTCATTCGGGGAACGGTTTTGCAGGCAGGCCTCTATACCAACTGGATTTTCTACTTTATTAAATGATATTATCCTGTAATCAGGAAGTTTAACACAACCAGGCCACACCTCCTCAGTTAAGTTTCCCAGGACACTGATGATCCTGCTGAGCTGATCAATATCAGCAGTTCCAGGAAAAAGTGGCTCCAGCGTCAAAAGCTCTGCAAAAATGCAGCCTAATGACCATAGATCTATCTCTAAACCATAATCTGTGGATCCATAGAGTAGTTCAGGGGCTCGGAACCATCGAGTTCCAACACAGGACGTCAGAGCACCATTTCTATCATCTCCACCCTCCTCTGCCTCGTATGAATAAGAACCCTTCAAAATATCATCCTCTATGTCACTCGTTGTACATGTTGCTAGACAAGATGTATCTCCATCAGGAACGCTTGTTTCTTTATCAAGTTCTTTCGCCTTCACCTCATCTAACACTCGAAAATATTCTTCTTTGCTCATAGTTCCATGTTCTTGAACTCTGTACCCTGCTTGACATTGGCTGGGAGTGCTTTGTGCATATGGTTCAGGGTTTTCATCATCAGCAACATATCCAGGCTCTAGGAGTATCCTTGCCTAAAAATAGAGACAAAACTAAATGTTCACTCCTACATAAGTTAATGAGGACATAACTCCGAGCTGTTGAAATGTAAAATTGTAGAAAGCACCAATCAAAACCAAATATGAAAAAGTACTAACATAATGTTAGACATGTTTAAATTGACATCTTTGTCAGCATTTTGGATAAAATCAAGTCTACAAATATTCTAGTTAAGACTGAAGCCCTGGAGTTAGCAGCTATCAAAATTCCAACTTATGATAATTGAATGGCTAGTTAGCAGGCAGGCACTTCATAACAAGTAATGAGTTTAAGTGAATGATTTCTTATTACACATAAAAGATGCCAATCTTCTGCAGCCAGTGCATGAAGAACGATGATACCAATCCTTTCTCAAACTACAGAGAGCAATGTGATGATATGCTTCCTCAAAATTAAAATTCAACTAATTCCAGATCGTTCTGATATCATTTTAACTCGAAAACTCTCCAACACAAACAACCAAACAAATCTAATTTGTGTTTTCATACAACAAATAATCACATAATTCAAAGTCAGTCAAAAAAATCAAAATCCAGTTATCCAAATCATTCTGTCAAATATAACAAATGTGATCATCTGAGTTCTGATAAAGATTAAAGTAAAATGCCAACCTTCCAATCAAGACCTGTACAAAACCCCTTAGACCACAATGGAAGACCAATCAATCAAAATAGATGCAGTTACCAAATTTAAGAATTTTAAGTTACAGACTGACACTTAATGCCAGTGCATTGAGAACTAAACCAGTTTGCTCCTCCTAAAAGCCGTCCCCTTCTCTCACTCAAAACTTTTTTCATTGAAACATGTTACAAACGAAAATCCACAACTTTATTATGATCCAAAGCAGCTCCAAGAAAATCTAATCCACTACATGCCTATAAAAGCACGATTACAGTTCTTATTAGAAAACTTAAAAGAATCATTAGCCCCTAATGTGACTCAATACCCATCAATAAAACACCAAAGTTTCGCAATTTTCTTCTGAAACAAAAACAGAAAAGGAAAAAAAACAAAAACAAAAACAAAAGCAATCCGCGAGCAATCAAAATTACCTGACCAAAATCAGCCAACTTAAGCACACCATTATCACCAATCAACAAATTACTGGGCTTCAAATCGCGGTGGACCACCATATTCCGATGACACGCGTCAACTCCAGATAGGATTTGCAGCATCCACCTCTTGACCTCCCCGCGCCCAATCCCACCCTCTCTCTTCTTAGCGCTTCTGATCACAGTGGCCAAGTCAGTAGTCAAAAACTCTAACACGAGCACAGCGTCCTCGTCCTCGCGCCAAAAGTACTCGTGCAAAACGACGACGTTGGGACAGCTGTGGAGGGCCTGGAGGGCCTCGATTTCTCGAAACCCCGACTGGTAGTCGTGGACCTCCTTGAGCGCGACGGTGAGTTTGTCGGAGAGTCGAATGGCTCTGTACACATCCGAGTAGGCTCCGGATCCGACCCGCTCGAGGATCTTATACTTTGCGATGATTTCGGGCCGGCTGTGGATGCTCCAGCTCTTTGCTGGCGGAGAGTCCATGTCAATCGGAAGAGGAAGAAGAAGAAATGCGCTTGCGAGTTAGAGCTTCTTCTGAATTCTTTTGCTTTTCCCTCTTTTTCTCGCTATTTTTTCTTGATGAAGCTTGTAGCAACAACGTGTGTAAGGGGTTTCTTTTTTTCTTGGGTTATCTGAACTATACATAATTATCAATTTATCCTCTAAATATTTATTTTTTTAAATTAAAGACTTCAACTACATAAAATATAACAACTAGGGAGTCGCTGTCAATTTTTTGAATGTCCAATCAAATTTCCATCAATATTAAGAATAAAATCTTAATTTTAGATTTAAAAAGCCACATGTGAGAAAATTGCAAGATCGAAAGCAAACGGGTTACCACAGTGGTCATGGCCCTCCTCTTTTTTCTCTGCTTGGAGAAACACTTATATGAAATGGTATGGATATCCCCAGTCAATCATGATATTCCATGCGTGATCACTTTTTTACATGTCAATCTGTGATTAGTCATGGATAGCAAAACAGTGCTATCCCTGTTTCATATAAGTTTTTATGCCCTGCTTAGCACCCAAGATTGAAATTCCAGTGTTGTCTTTCCTCCCAACGTAACACACACACAAAAAAAAAAAAAAAAAAAAAAAAAAGGCACAAAAAGGCCAAACCCAAAATCTCAAATTCTTCATAAGTTCGGATAAAAAACCAAAAATATAATGGGGAAAGCCAAAACTCTCTAATCTATTTGAAAAACTTGGGAATATTATGATTTTTTTTCACTTTCCATCACCTTTAATTTTATTCTATGAAGATTTTTGAGAAAGATTCAGTTTCCTGTTCATTGGTTCTTAATCCTAGAAAGGTTTGAATTTTTGTCCACTGGGAGATGCGATGAACCTATGGTGGGCCTTGGCTCATTATATATACAGCCACCATATGAAATGAAACCAGTGGCAGCCACCGCAGTCTGCAGGTGAAAGCCAATGCAAGCTACAAATCTTGTGGGTAGAAAATACAAGAGATGGTATGTTGATCATTAATGCAGTGCAGGGTCACCCTACCTGCCTTGTTTAGGCAAAATCATCAGAGACATATACATATATATAGGACCACTGCATCGATAATGTCTCTACCTGGCTGCATAAGAGAGTAGCAGAAGCTGCCTCCCCCTGCAGCCATTTATGATACATCTAATTCTCTCTCCTCATTCATTAGGGTCTTTCAGGAGAGAGAGAGAGAGAGAGAGAGTTGGTGTCAGTAAAGCATTCACCACATTTATTAATTCTTCAATCTTCGCTTCGGTTACCAGAGAATTGCAGTCTTAATAAGATTATGAAGATCCAAATGCAGACATTAAAACTAAAAAATCTTTGCAAGATTGTAGCCGCTTTAAATCAAAGAGGATCCATCTTAGTTAGTTATGAGGTTCTAAATAGCTCAAGGGTGTCGAGGAATTAATAATGTGATACACTGAACTGAAGAAAAGATTTCCCTCCCTAGTAACAGTACATGAGAGAATGAACAATTCCCTCCACTTCCACTTTCCAGTCAGTTTGCCAAATAAAAACAAAACATTTTTCAAATACTTCAGCTACAATACACACATAAGAAATATATGGCCTGTCAGGATTAAGCTTGTAAAACCCCAAAAGAGAAACCGTAAAACAACGTTTATATTCGAAAAGGCAGTGGTTAGCATTCCTTCTCAGGCTTCGCCCTAAGCAGCACAGCTTCGCCCTAAGCAGCACAGCCTCCACACACAATGCTCCTGCACTCAGTAAGAGAAATACAAAATTTACTACACAAGATGCCCGTAACTTGCATCGATAGACGGATCATTCAAGAAAACGATGTGGATGTAAAGTGACTAGACATAGTAAGATGTGGATGGTTATGAGGATGACTAGTTAATGGTTATCCTCCTCTCTATTTTAAGTGGGCCAGAGTAAAGAGATTATGATCAGTCATATAATAAAAAGTTTATAATCAGTCATATGAGCCATATCTCGGTCTCATGCACATCGTTTTCTAGATTACTAGATTAGCGAAAGTTCTACCAAAAGAGCCAGCTCACTTAAAAATAAATTAGTGTGATTCCAAAATCTACAATGCAGGAATTATTTGGCTATTTTGACATGAGGCACATATCTGGATATGACGAACACAGTTAATGTTGATCCCTGAAGTGCTCCATATCAGTTTCTTGGACCACAGGAGGCTCCAGCCAAGGCAGCAAACATTTATGAATTGAAAGACACATGTTCTGACCATTTTTCGGGTTCGGCATTTGGTTTATTTTATCTTTCTACATACACCACTTCGCCAATGACATGTTAATCTAATGGCACATATCAATTCTTAAGCAGCGGTTGGGGTTCAGGATCCTAGATTCAAGCGCGAGAAAGAGTAGGCAAGGATTGGGATTTGCAAGGCGGAAAGCTACTTATACTAGTGTAATTATCTCTTATCGATTGGCAAAACAAAAAGTTAGATCTCTCACAAGGAGTTGTGATTCTGTTCTTGAAATAGATCAGTCTGTAAGTCCTTAGGTGGAACTATTTTCATTCCCTGAACAGCTGAACCTGGTCATATTATTTTCCCTTGAAGATGAAGAAAAAATATTAGAGCAACAAAGGTACTTACACAATTGAGCAAGCAGACCTTCGGTGACTTTTCTTCTTAGCCATATCCTTCCTTCTTGGAGGTTGAAGAACAACCTTAATGGCAGTATCAAAAACAGCTTTGACATTCTGACCAACCAAGCAGAGTTCATAATTCAGTAGTCTTAATTGTCAAGCAAGTACTTTATACTATTTAACAACTTTAGCAAACGTATTCGTCTTTAAAAAGATTAGACATGAAATATCCCCTAAATTTTATATTCTTCTAAGTTGTCTACCTGCTGGGTCTTTGAGCTGCACTCGATATAAGCTGCAGCACCTATTTGCTTTCTCAGCTCTTCTCCCTGCATATTAAGCATAATGAGCTTCTTTTCCATAATCCAAATGCTTTCTGAAAGCAACAATCTTGAAGAACCAAAATAAACAAAACAATTACCTGAGCTGAAGTTATGATGTTGGATCCCATATGATCAGCTAGATATCCCATGTCATCGCGGAGATCTTAAATATATAGAAGATATAAGCATGGTGATATTAAGAACACCCTAAAGCATTATTAGGGAAACAAAATTGCCAAAGTTGATGCCTACCTAGCTTTGTCCCAACAAGAACAATTGGGACATTAGGTGCAAATCGACGAAGTTCAGGCATCCACTGAGAAATATATTAGAATGGATGAACTTTAATCAGTGAAACGCCAAATCCAAGTATATGAAGAAACAAACTCAATACTTGATGAAACATTATTCATCTTCCCAATTTGAAAGACCACCCAACCCAAAAGGTGACAGGAATTATTAAAATGAAAAGATATTGGCCATGGAATCAGTACCTTCTTAAGAACATTCTCATAGCTTGCGCTACTAATTAAAGAGAAAGCTAACACAAATATGTCTGCACCTCTATAGCTTAGTGGCCTCAACCTGCTGTAGTCTTCCTGGCCTTTAAAACAAAAGACAAGAAAGGTCAAGTTGTGAGAAATAAACAATTTACCAAATCCTACCTACAAACCATGAACAGAAAGAGCAGAAGTAAGGAAACTCAGTACAAGGAAAGACCAAATTACCTGCAGTGTCCCATAGCCCCAAGTTTACTATATTCCCATCCACAGATACATTAGCACTAAAATTGTCAAAAACTGTGGGTACATAATCCTGCCACACCAAAAAAAGAAAAAAAAGAGAGAGAACAGAAATTGAGAGAGAGTTACATTTTCAGCATACAAAACAAGTAAACTGGAAAAAGAAGAAGAATAGATTGAAATTGTAAAAGCAAATCTATGGCAGAAATATCCATAGATGCAAGAGAAAACAAGGAAACGGAAAGCTTTTGTTAAAGCTGAAGGACTCACAGTAGGAAACTTGTTGCTGGTGTAACAAATAAGCATACAAGTCTTCCCAACAGCTCCATCCCCAACTGTGACACATTTAATGAACTTTGAAGCACTCATTCTCTCAACCCCACAACTTGAAACAGCAGTTGGTAGCTCTGTAGCAAAAGAACTTGGACAAATATATATACGTAAAATGATATTGAAAAGTTCAGCTTAAAGAGAGCAAGAGGGCTGGCTTCAAATAAAAAGTTGAAACAGAAGCAATGGAAGAAGTAGAAAGAGAGCTGAGAACAGTGTGTTGAGGTGTGAGATGATATAGAAGCCAAGGAGAAGTCCTCTTCTAATTTCCAATTTCAAGAAGAAAGATTTTAAATTCAGCAAGCAAGAGAGAGAAAGAGTTGTCTTGTTTGTGGTCAAAGGGTGTAGCTGCACTTTTTAGTCCCTCTAAATAAATTTCAAATCCAACAGAAATATTTTTTGAATTACAAAAAATGGGCCCCTCTCAAACGGTACCTAATCTATAGGTCATTTTGGTCCCTTTATTGCGGGTTTCCAACTTGCAGTCACATTGATGGGAAGAAATGAATTTAAAAGAACTTGCAGTTATATTGACAACCAAAATGGTGAGCAGTAAAAACCAGCTAGAATGTTACTTCTTTCTGGGTAAAAAACATTACAGATGAACAATTTTCCTTATGATATTTATATATATATATATATCATTACAGGAGAATCATTTTTTGTTACAATTTCACATCTGATTTAGTTCTTAACCTTGACATGTTGACCCTTCTATGTGCTTTTAGAACTGGAAAGTAATTTGTATTTTCAAAAGATTAAAAAAGGTTTTCATTTGTGCGTAAATCTTTCTTTACATAGTTTTTTTGTTGTCCTTTAATAGATGCTTCACTGGTGAAGGCTTTTTATGTTTTTTATGAGCACAAATTTAGGGAAAGGGGAGGCTATCCATTTCAGATTAAAAAAAAAATTATTATAACGGGAATATCACTATTTTGTTATTTCTAACCAATAATGCAATGACACATGAAAAAGTTATATTGTGTGTCATTACGCTATTAGCCGAAGATAGCATAAAGCGTTATCTCCGTTTCAGAAAAACCTCTCTTTATTTCAAGACCAAGATATACCAAGACTTTTTTGAGGATTCGCTGTCGAAGGCATCTAAATTCATCAAAGGACTACCTTTTTTACACATGCAATCACCTGGATGGATTATTAAAATTTTGGACCCACATGCTTGATTCCCGTCGACCATGGTTTCCGATTTCGTCCAAGAAACAAAACATTAGCTAGCTGTTCAAATTTTCAACAACAAAAAAAGAAATAATTTCCATGAATCCTAATTTATACACATGTTTCAACAGTTATACCAAGACCCCCGTTAGGTTTCAACAATTAGCATTTGAATAACAAATTTTGGTTTGCTTAATTAAGGCTCTTTGCCCGAAAAAAGCGACGATTTAGCTGTCTCCTCTGAGAGAAATTTGCTTACACCCCAACAGATTGCATTGCACAATCGAATGGCCTTTTTCATTTATGCAGCCAAGTTCAATTAGTTTGAATGATTATATGGCAAGCTTCCCAAGTAATTGCGGGTTCTTAGGTGATCCTGTGTCGTTTGAAGTTTAACCAAATATGTCATTTTTTGTATTAAAATGTTTAGCTTTAACCACCTTGGTTTTGGTGGGAGGGAAGGCCACAGGGTCCAGGTTCAACTATCACAGTTGAAATGAAGCTGTAGGCAGGCACAATCACCCAAATTCAAAATCACCGTTTGTTAATCTGGTCTCTCTTTTTTTCTTGGGTCAAAATAAGATATATTTCCTCCCTCTTCCTTTCCACCTCATATGTACCAGCCAAAAAAGAAAGAAACCTCATATGTACCAGCCAAAAAAGAAAGAAAAGTTGTAACAGACGTGCGTAAGGTCAGTGATCTCGTCTTTCTGCACCCAAGTTTAAATCCCTCTCTTAGATACCCAAGTTCGAGTTCCTCTCCCCGATACCCAAGTTCAAATCCCTCTTCCTATAGACTATCACTTGTTAAAATAAATAAACAAAAACAAAGTTGTATTTCAATATAGGTCCTTTATTTGGACTAATGATCAAATGTTTAACTCTCCGTAACAGGCTGAAAACAAATGTTATGAATCGGTATGTTAATTTGTTGGGTTCCACTTTATATAAATTAGGTAATTGATACTGATGTTAAAGAGAAAATTAATTTGTATTTAGCTCTAGGCCCAAGCAATATTTGAATATCCTGCCTCAGGTATCCCCATATGCAGGTAAACATAGAAACAATGCCTTCAAGGAGTGTAAGAAACTTTATGGCAATCCACAAAACAGCTCCTTTATTTTCATTAGAGAAAGTACTCAACAGAAGATTTTAAGATCCACATGGCCTTAAAAAGCTAGAGGCAATATAGAAAGGGTTGCTCAAGTCTCCATACAAGTAGGAGCAAGCTAAGGGTGGGAGAATGGAATATTCAAAGAGCCTTGAGGATATCATCAGCACTGGAGACAGTAAATTCTCCTCCGCTTTCAATATTTGCAGCCTTCACCTTGAGGTCATCGACTAGGAGAGCAAACCTCCTAGAACGAGTTCCAAGTCCTTTCTCCGAAAGGTCAAGCTCAAGGCCAAGATCATGGGTGTATTTTGCTGAGCCATCAGCAAGGAAAAGGACATGCTTGTTCTCAGGGAATGATTTTGCCCAAGCCTTCATCACAAAGGGGTCATTCACTGCAAACAGGAACCAAAGCTTTATATTAGATATCTGATTGCACATCAATGAACTTTCCTTTGTAGAGACTATAGACTTGAATTCAACGGCATTTTCTATGGATCAATCAGAGTAAACCACCAAGTAAGCGTGAAAACACATATGTTCAGTGGGCGAAGTCACATCTTATTCTCATGATTGATTGTTAGGGGTACAAAAAACTTCACATATTCTTTCTCATTCACAAACTGATGTGGCAACCCCGTGACAATACCACATCAAGTAGTGTAATGACCATATACCGTAAATGCACAGCAACAAGGGGCGGGTGATAACACAGAACACGAATGTTGTCTTATGTTATGAAGCTGTGTTTGTGTTCAATGCAGAAGAATAGAAAACAAACTAACCTCAAATCTGCAAACATTACTCATTGAAAATAATCCAATAGGTGTTCGGGCCAACATAGGATGATCTAATCAAATATCTAGGAACACTTCACTAGTTTTTTCTTCTTCTTAAGAACACTTGATTAGTTACTATCAGTAACTGTATACATAGGAAGCATTTGACTCACTCAAGTTAAGTTCTTTGTCTTCAAAGAATCATGAATCTCCTTAAACTCTTATATCCCACATAATATTATCTAAAACACTATAATTTATGATATTATGAACCTATGATCCAGCCAAGCCAACCATATCATAATAATATGTATGATCATTGATCAACTGAAGAAAAGTGTTTTGGCTTAGTCTATGAATCCACACGTCAATCAAATTCAAAGAATAATCCTTGAAAAGTGCCACAGTTGCTGCTTGTAAACCGAAATGAAGTGAGAGCTTTACCGCTAAGACAGAGAATTTTGTCAACACCCTTAGATTTAAGCTCGTCTGCCTTCTCAATGAATCCAGGCACATGCTTCAAACTGTAAAACCATAAACACAAAAGAAACCAACCTCGAATTCTCAGCAAAAAACTTTAAAGCATAAAAAATATTAACATATATCAAACACGAGGGCAAATTAGGCACGCTTTGTATAAATTCAGAGCAAAGCAAACACAGGGTTTACAGAAAATTCTTTATCCCAAAAATCGAAGATTGAGATATTGAGGGTTTACCTGCAAGTTGGGGTGAAGGCACCGGGGACGCCAAAGAGGATCACTTTTTTACCGGCGGCGAGAGAGTGGATATTGACCGCTTGGACCTTGTCCTCCTCGTCGAAGTAAGACAGAGAACCGTCCGGTATCACATCGCCGACTGCAATCGGAGCCATGGCTTCTGATAAACGGTTTTGGTGATTGAATGGTTGATCCAACGGTGGAGGATGGAGAAATTTGATGCGTAGCTTGTGTACACGGGTCGCTGTGCAGAGTTTTTATACAGGGAGTAGAGTTTGATGGATTGAGGGATTTTTTCAGCTGGATTTGATAAACATTTTGGGGTCCCGTCCTTTTCCTTTTTGTCTATTTTCTTTTTTACAAATTTATAAATAAACCAAATTCTAGACATGTATTTATAAAAAAACCCAAGTACTATTTAAACATAGAAACACACCCAAAATCAACCCCAAAGTCAACTTTTTGGGTGTGTTTATAAATGAATTTTGAGTGTGTGTAATGATGGGTTTTGGGTGTGTTTATATGTTTAAATAGTGCTTGAGTTTTTTTATAATTTAAGCCCCCATTTTGAGTGTTTTAGTGAAACTCCCTTTCTTTTTTGGTCTGTGATATGATGGTAACGGATGGTTTGGAGCCGAGTATGGTAATATCGCCTCTGTCCCTGTACCTATCTCTTATAAGAATTTTTGGGGAATTTCCGTCTCCGTCAAGGAGCTACCTCCAAAACTCGTCCCGAATCCCCAATTTTTTATTTTACAAAAATATTCATCTGTAACAGTTATCTTTAACCTTAAATTATCTTTTAACTCAATTTCATTTAATTGAATTATAAAATTTAACTTATTGACTCAAAATAATCTCAATTTAATTTGACAAAACTAAATATATATTATATTATATAATCATGCATGGTTATATTATATTATAAACTACTTAAAGATAAATATATTACTTATCGGGCCGTGTTTAGATATGAGAATAACAATACCATCCCTGGCCCATTCTCAATCGAGGATTTTATAAATTTGGGGATCCTTGTACCAGTCTCTTATTTTCCCCTGAAATATCCCCTCATTAGAGTTGGGGACCTAGTCCGATGAGGATTTATGTCATCCCTACTGAGGTATAACATTGAATGCAGACACGTCGGTTTGTGGAATGAACAATGGGAGATGAAAATGGAAGATGTTCATTCTCGTATTGGGAACGTTGGGAAATGAAAACCAACAATGGTAATTTTCTCTTATTTCCATGTTTGATTTGTACAATATTAGGAATGGAGTTTTTAAGTTTTCCAATCATTCAAAGTTATCAATGAAAAGTAGTATTTGAAAATTAGAATATGGGTAATTTAATCTAAAATGGGTATTACGTGTTTTCCCATGGGAAAAAGATTCCCAATATGAGCCAAGGACATTCCATTATCAAGAGTGGGCTTACCAAACATGAAAAATACAATTTCCTATCCATTATTGTTTCTAAACTTTGAACCAAACGGGCTCTTATGGGTAAAAATATAATAAATAAAAAATAAAAAATCAGGGGCCAAACTTGTAGGTAGTTGAATTTGTGAATAAAATAAATTATAATAATGATGAAATTAAGTACATTCCATGTATGTAATGTTATGATTAGAAAATTTCACTATTCATAAATTATAATTAAAACAATTTATTTTAAAAATTACAATTTAAAGATCATCACTACAAAAAAATTCATCAAATTAAATAATATTTAGTAATTAATATGTATCAGGTTCTTGTCATGCCAAGATCATACGTGTTAAGAATGCTCAACCCAAACCTGACCCGTTTAATAAACGTGTCATGTTGAGTTGACCCACTAATTTCCCGTGTGGGTTTCGAGTTGTGTATCGAGTTAACATGCTAAGTGGTAGCAATTAAAAGACAAAAAAATTAGAAAAAAAAAGAAGAATAAACAAATAAACAAGTTGGCGATTGGCATCAGGGGCCAAACTTGTAGGTAGTTGAATTTGTGAATAAAATAAATTATAATAATGATGAAATTAAGTACATTCCATGTATGTAATGTTATGATTAGAAAATTTCACTATTCATAAATTATAATTAAAACAATTTATTTTAAAAATTACAATTTAAAGATCATCACTACAAAAAAATTCATCAAATTAAATAATATTTAGTAATTAATATGTATCAGGTTCTTGTCATGCCAAGATCATACGTGTTAAGAATGCTCAACCCAAACCTGACCCGTTTAATAAACGTGTCATGTTGAGTTGACCCACTAATTTCCCGTGTGGGTTTCGAGTTGTGTATCGAGTTAACATGCTAAGTGGTAGCAATTAAAAGACAAAAAAATTAGAAAAAAAAAGAAGAATAAACAAATAAACAAGTTGGCGATTGGCAGGTTACACGAGTATATGGTGGGTTACATAGGTATTTTACTGAGTTAGCGGGTTGGCAGGTTGACTCACCATGAACCGTTTTGTTAAACAGGTTACATAGGTATTTTAGTAGGTTGCCCCAAAACCCACCCATTTATTAAACAAGTCATGGCGAATTAACCCAAAAAAGACCTTAAAATTTAATCGCATGGGTTTCTTTTCTTCCTTTTTTCCTTAATAGCACTTCCACTGCAAAGCCCTCCTCGGCAAAATGCCACCCCCCCCCTCCCCAGGTTGAAGAAACCCACTCCATCGCACAAATCTAGCCCGAGAAAATGGTGGGCTTCACGAAAATTGGGCAGGCCCAAAGGCAAGAACAGCTCGAGCTGTTGCTTGAAGGTGCTAACGTTAGCAAAGAAAAATTTTATAAAAATATTCAAAATATTATACATACCTAACTATTTTTTAATTATTAATCTCATACATAAAAATAAAATTAATCTCATATGATTGCCATGACAATGGGTGGAAAAACAAAACAAAAAATTTGCTAGGACAAGCACTATTAATGTGAATAGTGCCTGCCCTTATTTGCCATTGCTTTTTGTCATGTCACCATGGGTGGGAGTGCTCTAAGAATTACTTCATTAAAGCCCATAAGCAAAAAGGCTATCAGGCCCCAATAGAAATCCAGACTACCAATAGACACCTTGCGACACTCTACATAGAGAAACAATGCCAATCTACTCAACTAAACAAGTGAAAATTCTGCTCTCCGGGATTTGCTTAACTGAGAATGTAAAACTGAAAATTCTGTCCACGCATAAGAAGTTGGAACCAACTTGATTTTAATTCAAATACACAAACCATGTGTAGACTCATAATCTCAATCATAATAGTCATTGGATGTGTAAGTCTACATTTTATGCTCATCAGGTTTTACTAATGTGCAAACATTTCAAAAAAATGAGAACACATGAGCTAAACTAAACAGAGAATTTGCAAGGGGTTTGTAGCTCAATGTTCGAATTCCTCTTCTCCAATATCTATTGTATCAACATCAAGCAGAGAAGATAACCGCATACTCGCCGGACTTGGACAAATCTTCCATCTCTTTTGTGCCCTCTCCCTCATCCCAAATCTTCTTGTCCTCACAATGCCCATATAACCAACTACACAGTAAAAAGTAGAAGAAGTTTACCACACTCATAGCAGTAAGAAGCCAATAGTAATAATCATAGTGAGCCCTGTTGAGGTCACTTGAAATCCAGCTCACACCATCTTTTTTGGTCACATCATCCACAATGCTCACAACCAAACTCCCAACCAAGCTGCCAAATCCAAACCCAAGTGACAAAAGAGCCACTGCAATACTGGACATGCTCTTTGGGAACTGAGAGTAGTAGAATTCTAGCTGCCCAATTGCATTCAAAGCCTCTGCAAGTCCAGTGAGGCAGTGCTGTAGCACTAGCCAATTGGCAGACATGCTCACTACACCCTTTGGATGGTTCAGAAAACCCTCCTGAATTGCTGTTTTTCTTCTCTGCCTCTCAACCTCTGCTGCAGCAGCTGTGGCCAAACAAGAGATTACTAGTCCTGCCCCAATTCTTTGCTTGAAGCTAAACCCACGCGGCCTTTTTGTGTACTTGGATACCAAGGGGACTAGTATCCGGTCATAGATGGCCACCCATATTGTCAGGGTGAGAATGCCAAACAGGGAAAAGGAGGCTGCTGGGATTTCGATTTTGCCCAGGAAATGCCTGTCCATGGTGCTTGCTAGGAGCACAGGGAATGAGTGCTGAGCGATCATCACCGCGATCATAATGCCACTAGACCAAATGGGCAGGATTCTGATCAGTGCTTTCAGCTCTTCTACTTGCCTAACAGTGCACAGACTCCACGGATCTTTGGCCAACCCATCAGGGGCTATGTCCTTCTCAGGGCTTCTGATCATGCAAGCCTTATTTAGGTACCTTAGATGAGCCAAAAATATTCAAATTAGACCAAGTGGATGAGAAAGGTTAGGGAAATCAATATCAGGAAAGGTTAAGGATTTGATCCGTTCCTATGTGATCAAAAGACACTAAGTTATTGACACCAAACTTAAGCCAACATTATTGTATGAGCCGGTTTCATATGTGATAGTTCTCTTCCGACATGTATGTGTGACATAAAAGATCATTTATAACAGGCTCATATAAAAGTTCCTCCTCAAATATGGGTTTCATTTGTTTTGGTTTTTATGTACAATATAACATAAAATATCATAGCTAAGCCTAAGTTCCATAAGCTTATACTTATAAAATAAACATGATTCTGCAATCTATGTTCATGTACCTTAAATTATCCGTTGGAGTGACAAACTTTGAACCTTTGGGACTATGCCATGCATCAAAGTTCTTTGGTGGCAACGCCAAGTGCCTGTTTTTCCAAGCTGCCGCAATTGCTTGAACAAGGCCAGCAGACAAGTTCCTGTTTGGAGGCACCTTAACATAAAGGGAAGATCCCAAGAGAAACAGAAGACCGGACAATAACATGAGGCCTACAGGAACTCCAAAACCCACAACCCAACCAAACTTAACTTGAACATAGACTATCACTGTCACTGCAAACATGACAGAGACTCCAACTGAAGCATAGTACCAATTGAAGAAGCTCTGCAAAACCCTTTCATTCTTGGGGCTGTCTGGCTTGTCCAGCTGGTCTGCTCCAAAGGCTAGTGAGCATGGCTTGATCCCTCCAGATCCAATGGACATGAGAACAAATGAGGCAAACAGAAGCATCACT